CAAGGATGAAATCCATGCATCCAGAGTAAGCTATAATATCCCACTGTTAGAGCCGTAACTAGTTGAGGGCGAGTGCCATCTTACCTCCAGCAACAAGAGCAATCGTTTCAAAGACATAGGTCGGCCAGCACTTCGCAGTTGCCAGAAGACTGGCATCCCAGAGTGCTGCTGCTGGGCGGCACTGTGCCAGGTAGCAAATAGCGCAGAGCCACATGACGGCATTCATGGTGATGATGATAACCCAAAGCAAAGCTTTCATCCACGTCTTGGTCACAATCCGCATGAGCGTAAAGGCAAAAGAGGTCTTGCTGAACACGCAACTGATGATGATAATCACGTAGCTGATGTATACAAGTTTGAGTGCCGGTGGGATGAGTTCTGGGTTCTCGATGGCAAATACGTGCTTGCCGACTACTCCCATTTGCACAGCCTTCGTATTGAGGGCTGTATAGACCAATTGCAGAGCCTGGTTTCTGTGTCAGCGAATCTGGGCGGATAGCATATCTGAAGCGCCGAAACTTACCCATGCAAGACAGATGAGAAGGTCATCCCAACCAAAGCCTCTTCTGCTTAGCCCAAGCTTACACCACAATCGTAAGGCAACAATCAGACCCGGAATAACCACCAGAACCCAGCATGCTGCCAGAATGGTTGGTCCCTGGGTCTGGGCATCAATAGCAGCAGATTCCGTTGCCATGGTGCTGGAAGCAAACTCCTTGTCAAAGAATGAAAGAGAGATTCACAAATTGCAATTGCCTGAGACGCAAATTTGGAAGATGGAACAAGGTTAATATAGTATATCAGATTTTTACAACCCCTTAAAGACAAGATTCCCTCAAAACAAAACTGTGGAGTAGTATAAATGTAGTACAGTAGCAAAAGAGAAGCCACCGTCGATCATCCCAAGCAGGCGAGACCTCAAGTATGTGATCCTCCAATCAGCAATGTATGAGCCGGAGCGGCAGGGATTCCTTCCGCTCCGGAGATGACAGATGCCATGCGATGTTGGGGATTGACGATCAAAACTCAGCGTCGGCCATTAAAAATTGTTGATCCAGTTCAGTACGGAGTTCCCCGTAGTTGGGACTCGGCATCTATTGAAATCCCTCACTCTGCGTACTACTCAATTTGCCCAAAATGTAGGCCTCAGCTTGACAAGTGACCAACAGAAGCGCAGGATGAGGGCAATTTGATATATCGCGCGTGCATCTTGCAGGATGCAAGACAAGGCAATGGTGATCTGCAAAGCCGATCAAAATGACAGATCAGTAGCTAGTTCCTGGAAGTCACCATGGGGGTCAGTAGCGGATAATTTCGACAAAGATCAGCCCTAAACCGGATTTCGGAGGTGATAGTCCATGCTTTGGAGCCCGAATAGAGTTGGCCTTTGAGTCTGCTTCACGTACGAAGTAAAAGTTAACTCTCTACAGGAGCGGACATCGTTTTTACAGAGACTTTCGGGATCTAGTTAAGAATTCCCCGTCGCGGCAATCCCTGCATTTTCCGGCAAACCCGATGGGGCAAATTAAATATGCAAAAATTTCGTTGGCTTGGTTTATGTTCCCATGCATGGCGAAGAGCGTGCGGCCCTTGCGCGGGAGGGCCCAGCTCCACAATGATGGCTCAGTCTTGATAAATTCTACCCCGTACTCGGTACATCTAGTACTCAACTCAGGTACTAGGTAGCGTGAATAGTTCAAGAGATTTTATTTTAGGAGAAACCATTTTGAATCTATTTAACATTGGTTCTTGGCCGGAGAGGAGGGTGTAACTGAACGGCCCCTCTACTAAAACCCCGGCCACATGGATTCGCGGCCCGTTCTCACACTAGCCGTGTTAGTACTTAGTTTTCTGTAACGTATTGTATCTTCAGGGTCAGGAGATTCTTATTTTGCTTTTTTGGAAGTGTTTGTAAAAGTGTTTTTGATGAATAATATTTGCAAGATCTTGGCTTGAAATTATCATAGATGACCACTAAAATACAAGCGGGGGATAAGCTATGAGTTCATGTAGCAAAGGGGGTGCAACTACTCCGTACATACACAGAACGGATATGCACATGAGGTCCATACATACATGGCTTCTCCACAAATGGCTGAACTGAAAGTCAGCCAGCTGCAGAAAATGTGATCTATCACGGCTACCGGACCCCGATGGTTCGTGTGATAGGTACATCGTCCCGGACAAATATTCAGTGCGGATAGTCATTAGCCAATGGCTCAGTGAGCCTGCAGAATATGATCTTACTGTTCTCCCCGGCTGTAGTAAAATACGACAAATCTTGGAAATTGGGGCCATTTGCCATCCATTCAGGTTGCCTAGTGAACGTCTAGGCCTTCTCACAATGGACCCATTGTGCAAAGGTGCATACCTAGAAGTATTATACTCCGTAGACCCCCTCCTTATAACGGGCCGCTTCTACAAAAGTACACAGATTCGATCGTACTCCATACTCGTAGACCCCCTCTTTCTTCTCAAATTGCCACTTTCTTGTCCGTGCGAATGGCCCCTGTAGGCGTGTTTCTCTGATTCCCCTCCTTTGTGGGGCCCAGGGGACCTCAAGCAAACTTTAGTGCTCAGATGGACTTATTTATGAAGTTCGAGGGGCCCATCCCAGAGAAGACCAGCCTGCAGATATCATAAAACCTGTCAGAGTCGAACTTGCACAAGAAACATGTTTTCTGCGGTCGATTTAGCAACGAATATAGCCCTCTCGGTGGCAATTATCTTTGCCTCTCGCTTTCTCTGGAATTATGTCCGTTCTCCATTGAAGTCCTTTCCAGGCCCTCTTGCTACCAGCTGCACCAATATTTGGCGCTTTTGGGATGTGTTTCGTGGACGCTGTGATATAACACAACTTGCTTTGCACCGTAAATATGGCTCTGCTGTTCGAGTGGGACCGAATGTTCTCAGTCTTTCCGATCCGAAATTGATTGGCCTGGTTTATAACACCAGAAACCCATGGATAAAGGTAAATTGACTCTCCTCTTTTCTTTGATCGAGACAGACAGTAAAATTTGTTCTATTTCATTTCTAGAGTTCAATGTACAACGTCAATGATGTTGTCATCGGTGGTGTTCGCTTGAGCAACCTATTCTCTTCTCGGGACGAAAAGTGGCACTCAACTTTCATTCGCCCTGTCAAAAACATGTACTCGATGAGTAGAGTTCAAGAGGTCGAGGGTACTATGGATGTTACTATCAAGTTGCTTTTTGACAAACTCCGTGCGAAGTTTGTTAGCACTGGCCAGACTTGTGAGATGTCGGATTGGATCAACTTCTGTGAGTATCTCTGCACATTCCCTTCACTAGCAGATAATTCCGACACAATGCTTTCTCCGCTTATCCTCATTTAAACTTTGTGTCCTGTTTGATGGGCGGTTCCGGTTTTACTTTCAAGTTGGTTATTGTACATCAGCTAATAACTCGTACTAAAGTTGCCTGGGACACAATGAGCCAAGCCACCTTTTCTCAAGACCTTGGAATCCTCGAGGCCGGAAGTGACGACAAAGGCTTCCTCAGAAACTCCGACCGGACACTTGATTACTTCGCTTCTGTGAGTTCTCATGGCGCGGTGCAAAGAGGTAAACTACTAATTTGCACTAGATTTGCCAAATTCCTCTTTTGGACCGATTCTTCGATAAGAACCCCATCATGCGTATTGGTCCTCCAACTTTCGCTTGGGCTAATATTTTCAGCCTGGGGCAACTTCAAAAACGCTACCAAGAAGAAAAGAAGGACACCAAGCAGGACTACCTTGCCAAATTCCTCGAGATCAAAGAAAAGAACCCAGAATTGGTCGACGACAACGTCATTATCCTCTGGCTTTTGTCAAATGTCCTGGCGGGCAGTGACTCCACCGCTTATACCATGAGTGCGGCGATCTACTATATTCTGAAAAATCCCGAGGTTCATAAGAAACTTTGTGCTGAGCTCCGTGGTGCTAATTTATCCCTCCCGGCAAAATGGAAGGACATCCAAGGGCTTAAGTATCTTGAGGCAGTGATGCGTGAGTCTATGCGTGTACACCCTGGCGTTGGCCTAATACTCGAGCGTGTTGTTCCTAAGGGCGGATTGTCTCTCCCTGACGGGCGCTTTGTGCCAGAGGGGGTTGTCGTGGGAATGAATCCATGGGTGATCAACAAGAACGAAGCGGTCTTTGGTGCCAATACTGATGATTTTATTCCGGAACGCTGGCTGCAAGCCTCCGGTGAATCCGACGAGGTATACCAGGCACGCTTTTCTAAGATGAAAGGTACAGATATGACCTTCGGGGCCGGATCACGCGCTTGCCTAGGGCAATATTTGTCCCAACTTGAGAGTTACAAGCTCATTGCAACCTTGTTCAGCACTTTTGACGTGAGTGACACCTACTATCAGGCCCTCGGATTGGGTTCTATGTGCATGTTGGCTAATGTTCTATGCAGGTGGAGCTCTCGAGTCCGGATCACGAAATGAAGATTATAAACTCTTGGTTTGTAAGAACTGAAAACTTGCCTGTCCGGCTGTCAGAGCGTAAGGACGGGGCGGTGTTTGTTTGAGGGGGTGAAGTTTGATTGATATGGAAATGATGGGTGGTATGGGTTCTCTGTAAAAGTGGTATTGAATATAAGAATAGGATTATTGGGAATTCCAACTTGCGCATAACACTGCTAGTACTCGTAAGTGGAAAGTACCCCTCAGTTAGCATTACTTAACCCTGGTTCTGGCACCCTTCACCGCCCAATGACGCTCGTTTACCAGCGAATCAGCGGCTCGGGAGAAGGTAGTTCCGCCGCGCTAAGCCGAGTCTGGCAAGCGCCCCTCCGAACGCAGAAAAAAAAAGGAAGCAGACGTCGCTCGAACTTTTTCTTCTTCTTTCTTTTCTTTGGGAAAGCTGGACTCTCTCCATCAACAGAAGGTTTCTTCCCTGTTGATTTGATTCCCCTCTGATCCATTCGACTCCTTACCTTCCTGGATCTAGAGTTTCTCTCTCTCTCTTTTTTTAAACAAAAAATCACCATGCCTATCACTAACAAGGAGGCTGCTCCCGGTGCTGCCATGAAGGCCGAGATCGAGGACTACACCAAGGCCCTGGAGGTCGTGAAGACCTACACCGTTCGGGATGGTCTTGATATCGATACTCTGCTGGACTCGGACAAGCACGGAGCTCTGACTTACAATGACTTCCTCGTCCTGCCCGGCTATATCGGTAAGCCGAATTTGCTTCGGATTCTGGCAAGGCCCCATTAATAACCTTGACCATCAGGCTTCGCCGCCTCCGACGTTAGCCTGGACAGCCCCGTCACCAAGCGCATCTCCCTGAAGGCTCCCCTCCTGTCCTCGCCCATGGACACTGTCACTGAGCACAACATGGCCATCCATATGGCTCTGCTCGGTGGTCTGGGTGTCATTCACCACAACTGTGCCCCCAACGACCAGGCCGAGATGGTCCGCAAGGTTAAGAGATACGAGAACGGCTTCATTCTGGACCCCGTCGTTCTTGCTCCTACTGCCACTGTCGGTGAGGCTAAGGACCTCAAGGCCAAGTGGGGATTCGGTGGCTTCCCTGTCACTGGTGAGTCAATTCTCAATTTCTTTTTTCCCCTCGTACCCAATCATACCCCCTGCTATCACATGATGAACAACCTACTTTTTTTATAACTTTCGTTCCACTGCCAGCAGCGAGAGCTGCCATGTAGAGAACCAGTTTTTATCTGAACTTCTGCCGTCACAACTCTTTTTTGTCACATCACTTTTTTTTAAGATGGATGCTAATGACGATTCTGTGACAGAGAACGGAACCCTTCCGTTCCAGGCTTATTGGTATGGTCACCTCTCGTGACATCCAATTCCACCACGACCTGAATGACCCCGTCACCTCTATCATGGCCACTGATCTGGTCACCGCCCCCGCTGGCACTACTCTGGCTGAGGCCAACGAGGTTCTTCGTCAGTCCAAGAAGGGCAAGCTGCCCATTGTCGATGAGGCCGGTAACATTGTCTCGCTGTTGTCTCGCTCGGACTTGATGAAGAACCTGCACTACCCTCTGGCCTCCAAGCTCCCCGACTCTAAGCAGCTCATCTGTGCTGCTGCGATCGGTACCCGCGAGGAGGACAAGGCTCGTCTTAAGCTCCTTGTTGAGGCTGGTCTGGACATTGTTATCCTAGACAGCAGCAACGGTAGCAGTATGTACCAGGTCCAGATGGTCAAGTACATCAAGGAGACATTCCCCGACATTGATGTTATTGCCGGTAACGTTGTTACTCGTGAGCAGGCTGCTGTTCTGATTGCTGCCGGTGCCGATGGCCTGAGAATTGGCATGGGTAGCGGTAGTGCCTGTATCACCCAGGAGGTCATGGCTTGTGGCCGTCCCCAGGCTGCCGCTGTTCGCAGTGTTTCTGCCTTTGCTGCTCGTTTCGGTGTTCCTTGCATTGCCGATGGTGGTATCCAAAACGTTGGTCACATCGTAAAGGGTCTGGCCATGGGTGCTAGCACTGTCATGATGGGCGGTCTGCTTGCCGGTACCACCGAGTCCCCTGGCGAGTACTTCGTTAGTAACGAGGGCCAGCTCGTCAAGGCCTACCGTGGTATGGGCTCCATCGCCGCCATGGAGGACAAGAAGGCCGGTGCCAACAGCAAGGATAGCAAGGCTTCCAACGCTGGTACTGCCCGTTACTTCTCTGAGAAGAGCAACGTTCTGGTCGCCCAGGGTGTTGCTGGCTCCGTCCTTGACCGCGGTTCCGTCACCAAGTTCATCCCTTACCTCATGGCTGGTGTCCAGCACTCTCTCCAGGATATGGGTGTCGAGAGCCTGGACAACCTGCACCAGGGTGTTAACAACGGCACTGTCCGCTTTGAGATGCGCAGTGCCAGTGCTATGGCCGAGGGTAACGTCCACGGTCTGCACAGCTACGACAAGAAGCTTTACTCGTAAGATCCAAGTTTTCTTGAATGAAGGATTCCCCAATGTGAAATTTGAATGGGAACTCCCAGACGATGATACGTGGCCTTGGAAATAAAAAATGGGGTATGATAGGACAGGAGTTAGACATGAGGAGTTTAATTTTTCAATTAATCAGTATATTATTCCGATTGTATTTTTGAAATTTGCGTAGCACATTGATCCATATCACAGTAGTACCTTGTACTCGTACTTCTTTGCGGTTATATGCGTGTGGCACATGATGCGGCTGTCGGCTAACTGGAAGCGGCCAAGCCGGACGCGGGGTACAGGGAGAAGCCTAGGCACTCGGGTCGGTTCTTGCTATAAACTCCTTCAGTTGACCAAAAACCAACGGGGCGTATGTAATATGCTCCCAAGGTATATTTGCAACCGTTGGTTAGCCCCTGCATTTGCCGGTCCCTGCTCTACACGAACAACTCTTACATCCTTCTACTTTGCGCGATTTTGGCTCCCCCCAGGCTCGCGCCGAGGCAACTGCAAAAGGAATTATTCGGCGAATTCACAGCCAGCATCAACTACCCAGTCTGCCAGGATGCCACGCGCAAAGGAAGACGGCCAAAAAAAGAAACAGCCGGCTGTGGCAAGACCGAGTTCGAGGTGCGTTGACTCTCGGCATTTGATGCCTAAAGCCCGACGGATTCGACCGAATCTGGACCATTGTAGAAGCATTCGATTTATGTTCGAAAGACATCGCTGCTAACGATACCCCAGCGTAATTCTTGTTTCTCCGAAGAACGAGATTCTTCTGCTGCATCGAGTGCAGACATCCAGCTCTTTTGCCTCTGCCCACGTCTTTCCCGGCGGGAATCTATCTAGCCAAGACGGGCCATGTCCTCCCCAGAAGATCATGCCCACCACGATGATGGTCCTTCATATCGACATGCAGCGATCAGAGAGCTTTTCGAAGAAAGTGGCATTCTACTTGCTAAAGACAAAGCCTCTGGGAAGATGCTTGTAGTCGATGAAGCAACCAGGGAGAAAGGCCGACGCCTTATTCATCAAAATCAAATTACCTTTGGCGACTGGCTAAGGCAGCAGAATGCAACAGCTGAACCTGATATATGTTAGTCTATCTCGAGGAATTTTGAACCCGTCAGATCCCGGTGCTAACTCGGGAGAAGCTCCGTTGATTCCGTTCACGCATTGGATTACCCCAATTCATAACCCCAAACGCTATACAACCCAGATGTACCTCTATTTCATGCCACTCCCTGTCAATATAGACAAGAAATTGCTGGAAGGGCTCCCTACTGAGGGCGAGCGGGATGAGATTCAAGTTCCGACCAGCGATGGCGGTGTTGAAGTCACCGAGGCGCAATTTCTTCCAGCTGCCGCATGGCTTGATCGTGCACAGAAAGGAGATATCATTCTCTTCCCTCCGCAGTTCTTGCTTCTACATTTGGTATCCGGATTTCTTGATCAAAAGCCTCATTCGACTGTCTCCAATGGAGAAATGGAGAAACGCCGGGCGGCACTGATTGAATTTGTACATTCGGGTTCTCCCCCATGGACGGACAAGTATATTTCACCCAAGATGCTAAAGTCAACCGAGGATGGCCGGGTGGTTTTGGCTTTAGATGATGCCGGGCCCGAGCTGAAGGGCTCTGACAAGCGAGGCGAGTCTGATCGAGTTGTCCTTGTACGATTCACAAAGGGAAGTGCGAGAGAAGTGACTGTGGCATGGAAGAAAGATGCCCTACGTGAAGGCAAAGAAGGTCGGAGCAATCTCTAGATATTATAGATAACGACTAGATATGTGGCACATCAAATGCCCTGTCCTCTCATAACAGCAATCTGAATAATATGCATCCATGCAACGGCGACTGGATTATGTGGTTCCAGGGTTCCTGGACAGGAGATAAAGCATAGTATTGCCACGGCCCAAGATATGGCTCGTGTATAAGCCCACGCACACCGCCTTTCCACCACGCCAGCCCTCGACAAAGAATCACATGACCCACACAAATCATTTGAGTCCCGATTTGTGCGGACCGAAAAACCCTCCACCTCCAACCTCACCGTCGCCCGTCCAATCCTCTACACCAAACCCGCCAAAATGGAGAACGAGAAGGGAGAGATCGTCGATCTGTATGTGTTTCCGCCATCCGACTCACTTTCGCTACAATCTATCCGGTGTCCTGTGTCTTGTCTGCCTACAGTCGCCGTGCCGCATTGAATTTCCGACCACAAAAGATAAGGACCTTTCGAGGCTTGGTCGGAATGAAATTCGAATGCCAATGCCAATGCCAAAGCTAGTCGGTTCATGCGCACTGTCTTCTCGACGACAAAATTCAGGACACCGGCCGATTGGAGGGGAAGCGAATTCCGATGCTCAACTTGAGTCGAAGCGAAAAAAGACAAAAGATACTAACTGTACTTCCCTTGATAGCTACGTGCCCCGCAAGTGCAGCGCCACCAACCGCATCATCAAGGCCAACGACCACGCCTCTGTCCAGCTCTCCGTTGGCAAGGTTGACGAGAACGGCCGCTACACCGGCGAGAGCGAGACCTACGCTCTCTGCGGCTTCATCCGTGCCCGCGGCGAGTCCGACGACTCCTTCAACCGCCTTGCCCAGAAGGACGGCTACCTCAAGAACGTCTGGTCCGCCAACCGTCAGCGTTAAATCGTCTTGAAGTTTGCGCACTAGGGTGGTGTTGACGGTTGATATTATGGTTAGCTTTCCCTCCTCGCTCCACCTCGATTGAACATGCAACTAACTGGCAACACACAGACGAACCGTGGCTAGATGGTCCAGGTTCGGGGATTGGAATAAGAGAGAAATGGATGAGGGTGTACTGGTAGTCTCCTTCGCCTAAATTTTGAAACCCTGTTTTCCTATCTATCAAAAAATGAGAATGGAATAACGACTTTAAATGGGTCCGGCCTTGTTAAAACTGCAATGCCGCCTATTCAAATCCTCTATTTTACGCCTTTGCGATAGACCAAGGGGGGGTTTTTCCTCGCAAGAGAAATACCCTCCCTTCCCTTCAGGGCTTTCTTCCCTTCTTGCAGCCCTCTTCCTCACGATCATGAAACAAAAGCCCCAAAATCAAATTTCAAAAACTTGAATAATTCCTCATTTCCCCCACCCATTTCCCCATTTTCTATCTCATCGGCATATCAAGGCTTCCTCATTCTTGTGGACTTGAAAAACCGGATCGTAACCCGGTCTGTGTTTTTGTTGTCTGCTTCTCCATGAGCGAGGGAGTAGAAACAGTTCAGGCTGTTTCACTATCCATCGCCGAAGATTACCTTCTTTCCCGCCTACTGAAGAGCCACTGTTGCAGAGTTCAATGCACTGGGGCACAGATACGGGTGGGACATTTGGATCTATAAGATTAGGCCAAGGACAACTCCCTCGACGTAAAACTTGGTTACTATGTAGTTGATTCTATACCAATATGATACCGTTGACCATTTCGGCTTCAAACCCTTGACCTCTACCTTGTCAAAATAAGGTTTTTTTTACGTAGCCTTTTCCTGGGTTGTCGTGTTTCTCCATTTTATACAGTGGGCTGTTGATTTAGAGACATAATTGATTTTTTATTCGTTTCTCCTCGTCCATTTCATTGACATGCAAACATGACCTTCCGCATGAACTCGTCATTCCAGAAAAAGGGCCATGAGTCTTAACTCCAAGGCCTCTTTCGGCAAAACACAACATAGAACAGAAAATTTTTGGTCTATAAACAATTGATGCAATCCAGGCGTGCTAATTTGGGAGTTTGGTCTTATTTCTCCAGGCGCACAGCCGGGTTAGACTCGATGAAGTTCAAGTCGACCTTGTGACCAAGCAGCTCGCGGATGTTGCTGACACCATACCTAGAAAAGATATGTCAGTAATAAATTCAGAAATATATAGCCAGTTAGGTTTAAACTCACTTGATCATAGTAGGTCGCTCCAGACTCAGACCCCAACCGTAGACCTGCATACCCTTGGGGATGCCCATCGACTCCAGCATCTCAGGTCGGAACATACCACTGTTACCGATCTCCACCCACTTGCCCAGACCTTCATGGTAGCCGAAGATCTCCATACTAGGCTCGGTGTAGGGATTGTAAGCAGGCTTGAAACGAAGCTGGTGGATGTTCATCTTGGCGAAGAAAACCTCCATAAATCCAATCAGACCACCCAGAGTGAGACCGAAGTCAGCAATCACACCCTCAATTTGGTGGAACTCTGCCAAGTGAGTAGCATCGACGGCCTCATTTCGGAAGACACGGTCGATACTGAAGAAGCGGGCCGGCCGCGGGTTGGCAGCGAGCTTGTGCAGCATGTACGCCGAGATGGAGGTGGTGTGCGTACGGAGGACCAGACGCAGTGACTCGTCCGCGCTCCAGGGGTAACGGTAACCGATTGAACCAAACTTGCCCTTCTCGTGGACATCGTGCACGTTGTCCCAGTATTTCTTGTAGTCGAGCGGCTTATCTTGGGTATTCTTGGGGCAGTGGGGGTCGTTGGCGGGGTCCTCGCGAGGTCCATCGGCGGTAAGGGGATCGGCGATGTAGAAGGTGTCCTGGAGATCACGGGCAGGGTGTTGCTGGGGCACGAAAAGGGCATCGAAGTTCCAGAAACCAGTCTCAACGAAGCGGTTGGTGGGCATCTCCTCGAAACCCATCTCAAAGAAAATGTTGCGGAACTCCGCGCGCACCTTGCTCAGTGGGTGCAGGGCACCGGAGGGCGTTAGAGCACCTTTGGCACTGAAGTTATAGGCTTTGAATTCGATATCTTTCCACGCTCCATTGGAAAGCATGTCGAAGGTAAGGTCGGTCTCCTCCTTGACGAACTCGCGGGCATACTTGGGACCCTTGGTGATCTTGAAGGTGATAGCCTTGGACAGGGTAATCAATTTCCTCCGCTTCAGGTCCGCAATGGCTTTGGTATCCTCCAGGGTGTTTGTCCGCTGCACGGTGAGCAGGGTTTCGCGGGTCAGATCGACAATCGACTCGCGGGTTGCCCGCAGCAAGTCCTTGTCCTTCTTGATCCAGCCTTGCTTGAAGGCATTGCCCTGACCAACCTTGGCGTTATCCTTCCCCACAATGGCGGGCAAGTCGGCAATCTTCAGACCATCCAGGGCCTTGACGACGGCGTCGAAAACCTTGGCCTCGTGGCTGCCATTGGTCGCAATTTCTTCACCCTCGGGGGTAAGTTCGATGATCTCCTTGTCGATAGTCTCATATTCGACCATCTGCCGAGTGGCCAGGCGGTCCAGCGCACTTTTGACCTTCAATGAGGGGTCGGAGGGGAAGGCTTCGCTAGAGAGGATAGGGGTATCGGAGGCGGACAGAGCGTCCAGGATAGGGGCTGTCAGGTCGGACGCCATGGCTGCGGCCTTTTCCTGCAGGAAAATTGTCGAAATCTGAGCGGGGGAGCGTAGGGGAATGAGGTCGGAATTTGGGACTGGTGCCCGCCAAAATTACGATGACTCTTTTCCAATTTCGGTGCGGTGGGCACAGCGACCACTTGCGCTGTTTCACCCCCACCATTCAAGCAGCCGCAGTGGTGTATCCAACTACATCTGTGTACATTGGATTGATTGATTGATTGATTGATTCATTGAATCGATGTCTACTCATTCACCACTCAAGTCATGACTCAGTGATCATCCGATTCGCTCGGCAGATTAGTCTTGCGTACTCGTATTTACGAAGTACCTACAGTGGCGTTGCAAAAGTTTGAAACCCCATATTGCCCACCATGATTTACCGCCTACTAATGGGAAACTAGTAGCTACCTGAGATGGAATAGATAGGCCAAACTATTCCATCTGAGGTAGCTACTAGTCCGCGATTAGAAGGCGGAGACAGGAACAGTCAATATGGGGGTTCAAACTTTTGCAACTGTACCACGATCATCTGGAGAAATGTTTCAATACCTATTTCGCTTATCCTGCTCTACAGCTCATAAGGAATATCTTGGATCGCTGCTCGCCAGTCGCGTCTTTTTTCCCTCCGGCGCTGTTGAGTACTTTCAAGTGGCGTGGCCGTTTCATCAACGGGCTACTCGTACATACTCGTACGCGTGCAGCGGAGGCAATATGGAAATGTCAGTGCGTCTGGGTTAAGGCCTTTCATCCTGACGTGTGCTTTGGGAATGCCTTGACCGGTTTAATATCTGCGAAGTGGTGATCTCTTGGCACCCGCAGCTGGGGTGACTTGCAATCATGCAGCCATGTTGTCATTATCTCGTGGCCATTTCGCAAAACCCTACCCCCCGCCAGGTGATGTGATACCGAATTAGTGGATACCAGCAACCAAGCACCCACGCAGCGACCGTTGAACCTTCTCCTCCACCGCTGTTGACTACTACATAGTATTCGGCGCACGAGACCAGGAGGACACCAGGAGGACACCAGGAGGACACCGTCTCAGCCACCCAAATAAAGGCCAGTATCCTTAGCGAAGGTGGACATCAAACAACTCCGGAACGGTGGCAGACTCGCCCCGAGACAGCGAAGCACCGCTCTTTCTCACTGGTTGGGACTAAGGTTCGGACCCAGTAGAGTCCACCCGCAAGAACCGTTCCTTTGAAGTCTCGGGGCTACAGACTATTCGAACCTCTCAAAACTGCATGTGGGATTTATTGGGCCGCGCGGTGATCGCGGAGGATTGGGGAGGATTGAGAAGGGGAAGGGGGGGTAGTTTAGGAATAGACTATTGACAACTCAAACAACGAACTTGCCGGGATGACGAGTTGGACTTGCGATCGGCCCTAGTTCGAGCGGCGATCATCACGCTTTCAAGGTTACTTGTTCGATAGCCAGCGGATCAAGGGAGATGAAACGGCTCAGGGCCTTATTCCCTTATTCCCCAGTATCCTGGTCTCTTGGGAACTCTATCGCCTGCACTTGTCCGTGCGAGCCAAATCCATAATTCCGTTTCTGCCGGGATGTAAGCTGCTGTTGGTTGGGCGTCCATGCTATGGTGTACTCGTACGGGAGTACCAATGTGTGTGTGTGTGTCTGCTTTGCGTAGTTTTTACTCGTACCTATTAGAACAGGCAGCGAAACAGAGACAGTAGAAGACACAGAGACACACACACACACAGAGAGAGAGAGAGAGAGAGAGAGAAAGAGTCGGCATCGCCGCCCCTTTTGAAATCCTCAATCATTCCCCTTCCCTTCTCTTCCCTCCCCCCCCCCCCCTCCCCTTCTCTCTCTCTCTCTGACTCTCCTCAATTTTCAAATATTTCTCCCCATCACCCCCTTAAAAAACCTTAAAGCTTCTTCTCTCTCATTTTTTGGGGATTTATTATTTGTGCATCTCTATCCGTCTTTTCTTCCCCGCAAAAAAAAAAAACAAAGGAAGAAGCGCAGTGATTACATAACCGGGCGCTCCTCCCCCCTTTGGTCTCCTTCGTCTCCCCGACTCAAACCTTTAGCAGCCTTGCTATCTACCATCTACCCCCTCCTCAGCCCGAATATTTCGGGCCGTGTCGGCTCTCTCTTTCTTGGTCCCGGATCCTCCTTTTTTAAATCGCCCCATGTCGTCCTAGATCCCTTCGTCTATCTTTTGTGGCAGAACCCCCCGTCCGGTAAGCTTGAACTCCCGCATCGGTACCCTCCCAAGTTCCTCCTCCCCCCTCCCCCTCCCCCCTCCCCTCGAATAACTCCCTATTCGGGGTTCATTCGGCCGTTTTTGGATTCATAGTTTCTTCCCCTGGGGGTTTTCGTTGGTTTTTCGGTCAAGGGTTGCTTGGTTTCTCGTTATCATGGAATCGTTCTCACTCGCTAACGATCGAAGGGCATAATGACTGGTGCGGACGAGACTCTTGTGGCCGCGACTGCGGTCTTGCAGTCTCTGGCCAGAGACGAGCCTACCGCTGGCTCATCTTCCCCTCCTTTTGATTTTCAATTTCCTTCAAGCAACGGTGCCAAATCTTCCACACTCCCCGGAGATCCGAGTCCTGCAAAGGCTGCCTTCGAGGCCGAGTTGGAGGCCTTGGTGCGCCGAGTGCACCACCTGGAATTCCAAGCTGTCAGTCATCACACGTTCCCCGACAATCCCCAGCAGACCACCCTGGCTGCTCTCGGATCCAACGAGAAGAACCCAGACTTTTTGTGGACCTTTGGGCTCGATCGCTTGTCGTCCGGTCAAGGTTCTGACTCTCATTGCCTCACACAGCAGCAAAACCTGAATCAACCCAATCGGCGACAGCGAACCCCCCTCGGGCCCCGAAGAGCAAGTGCAAGAGCAACCGCCCCCGACTGTGGACCTTGACGATGACGAAACCGACGAGGAGGACGAAACTGGAGCCCGCACCCGGGTCGTTCGCGAACAAGATATCAGCATCCTGCGAAACCATGTGCAAAAGCAGGCCGAGGAAATCAGCTTCCAGAAGGACATCATTGCGCAGGTCCGCGACGAACTGCTGAAACAAGAGGAGCACACCCGCCGTGCCCTCACCAAGGTTGAAAACGAGGATGTCGTCCTTCTGGAACGCGAATTACGCAAACATCAACAGGCAAACGAGGCCTTCCAGAAGGCTTTGCGAGAAATCGGTGGTATTATTACGCAGGTCGCCAACGGTGACCTCTCGATGAAGGTCCAAATTCATCCCCTGGAGATGGACCCGGAAATCGCTACTTTCAAACGAACAATTAACACCATGATGGACCAGCTACAAGTTTTCGGTAGTGAAGTATCTCGAGTCGCCCGTGAGGTCGGAACTGAAGGAATACTAGGTGGACAGGCACAAATCACCGGTGTCCATGGTATCTGGAAGGAACTTACTGAAAACGTGAACATTATGGCCAAAAACTTAACGGATCAGGTGCGAGAAATCGCTACTGTTACAACTGCTGTCGCGCACGGTGATCTCAGTCAGAAGATTGAAAGCCGTGCTCAAGGTGAAATTCTCGAACTGCAACAAACAATTAATACCATGGTGGACCAGCTTAGAACATTCGCAACCGAAGTCACACGAGTCGCTCGTGATGTCGGTACGGAAGGTGTGCTGGGAGGTCAAGCTCAAATAGAAGGTGTCCAGGGAATGTGGAACGAACTCACGGTCAATGTCAACGCAATGGCCAATAATCTGACAACGCAAGTACGAGATATCGCTACTGTCACTAAGGCCGTCGCCAAGGGTGACCTGACACAGAAGGTGCAAGCGAACTGCCGAGGTGAAATTGCTGAGCTCAAGGATATTATCAATTCCATGGTGGACCAGCTGCGACAATTTGCACAGGAAGTCACCAAGATCGCCAAGGAGGTCGGTACAGACGGTGTACTTGGTGGTCAAGCCACAGTGAACGACGTCGAAGGCACTTGGAAGGATCTCACTGAGAACGTCAATCGAATGGCTAATAACCTGACGACTCAAGTTCGTGAGATTGCTGATGTCACTACGGCTGTTGCCAAGGGTGACCTGACCAAGAAGGTCACAGCCAATGTCCAGGGTGAAATTCTTGACCTGAAGAGCACTATCAACGGCATGGTTGACCGTCTAAACACTTTCGCTTTCGAGGTCAGCAAGGTCGCCCGTGAGGTCGGTACCGATGGTACTCTAGGAGGCCAGGCAAAGGTCGACAATGTGGAAGGAAAATGGAAGGATCTTACCGACAACGTCAACACCATGGCCCAGAACCTGACATCCCAAGTGCGAAGTATATCCGATGTCACTCAGGCCATTGCCAAGGGTGACCTGAGCAAGAAGATTGAAGTACACGCCCAAGGAGAGATTCTTACCCTCAAGGTCACCATCAATCACATGGTGGGTCGGCTGGCTAAGTTCGCCATGGAACTCAAAAAGGTCGCCCGCGATGTCGGTGTCGATGGTAAAATGGGTGGACAAGCCAATGTTGAAGGAATTGCAGGTACTTGGAAAGAGATCACGGAGGACGTCAACACCATGGCCGAGAATCTCACATCCCAAGTGCGTGCTTTTGGTGAAATTACGGATGCCGCGACAGATGGAGATTTCACCAAACTCATTACTGTCAATGCTTCCGGTGAGATGGACGAACTGAAGCGCAAGATCAACAAGATGGTTTCCAATCTGCGGGATAGTATTCAGCGAAACACTGCCGCCAGGGAGGCTGCCGAACTTGCCAATCGCACCAAGTCCGAGTTCCTGGCCAATATGTCGCACGAGATCAGAACCCCGATGAATGGTATCATCGGAATGACGCAACTCACGTTGGATACCGATGACTTGAAACCATACACTCGAGAGATGCTGAATGTTGTACACAATTTGGCCAACAGTTTGCTCACGATCATCGACGATATACTAGATATCTCGAAGATTGAAGCCAACCGAATGGTCATTGAAAGCATTCCGTTCACCGTGCGTGGCACTGTTTTCAATGCTCTGAAGACACTGGCTGTCAAGGCAAATGAGAAGTTCCTGAGCCTGACGTATCAAGTCGACAATACGGTACCCGACTATGTTATTGGTGATCCATTCCGTCTACGCCAAATTATCCTCAATCTGGTTGGAAATGCCATCAAATTTACAGAGCATGGTGAGGTCAAACTCACCATCCGCAAATCGGATCGTGAACAATGTACCACCAACGAATATGCCTTCGAATTCTCCGTCTCCGACACGGGTATTGGTATTGAGGAAGACAAGTTGGACCTGATCTTTGATACCTTCCAACAGGCCGATGGTTCCACAACTCGTCGATTCGGTGGCACAGGCCTTGGTTTGTCCATCTCCAAGCGATTGGTCAATCTCATGGGCGGTGATGTCTGGGTCACCTCCGAGTACGGTCATGGAAGTACATTCCACTTCACCTGCGTCGTCAAACTTGCCGACCAATCATTGAAGGTTATTTCATCTCAACTTATGCCGTACCGTGACCACCGAGTCCTCTTCATCGACAAAGGACAGAATGGAATCCAGGCGGCTAATGTCATGAAAATGCTGAAGCAAATTGACTTGGAGCCACTGGTTGTGCGGAATGAAGAACATGTCCCACCACCTGAGATTCAGGACCCCTCCGGAAAGGAGTCGGGCCATGCGTACGATGTCATCATTGTGGACTCCGTCGACACCGCTCGGATTTTGCGAACTTTCGATGAGTTCAAGTATATTCCTATCGTGTTGGTCTGTCCCTTGGTATGCGTGAGCCTGAAGTCCGCTCTGGATCTTGGTATCAGCTCATATATGACGACACCCTGCCAACCCATCGATCTGGGCAATGGCATGCTACCAGCTCTTGAAGGCCGCTCGACCCCGATCACTACCGACAACTCCCGCTCCTTCGACATTCTTCTTGCCGAGGATAACGATGTGAACCAGCAACTTGCGATGAAGATTCTTCAAAAACACAACCACAACGTCTTTGTCGTCGGCAACGGTCTTGAGGCCGTTGAGGCCGTCAAGAAGCGCCGCTATGACGTTATCCTCATGGACGTTCAAATGCCTGTCATGGGAGGATTTGAAGCGACAGGCAAGATTCGCGAGTATGAACGGGAGAGCGCATTGCAGCGGACACCAATCATTGCTCTCACAGCACACGCCATGTTGGGAGATCGTGAAAAGTGCATCCAGGCCCAAATGGACGAGTATCTGTCCAAACCACTCAAGCAGAATCAAATGATGCAGACCATTCTCAAGTGTGCTACGCTCGGTGGCTCGCTTCTCGAAAAGAGCAAGGAGTCTCGGATCTCCAGCAGCGGAGAAATGCACCCGATTCATTCCTCCGTTCCGTCCGACAATCAGAATCAGCAACTGCAGCAACAGTCTCAAAATAAGATGCCCTTGCCAGCTCCCATGCGGCCGAGTGCTGAGACTCGCTCCGTCACCTCCTCCGGTCCGATCACTCGAGGAAGCGTAGTGGGTCCAACAGAGGACAAAGACGAAGAGATGATCGATGATCGGGTACGTTAAAAGCATTGTATGTTGAAGAGGAAAACACATTCGAACACCCTGGCTAATTCATATTGTTTTCTCAAACAGTCATTACTGCGGTCCAACAGTACCTGAGCATATTTGCATCTCTTGAACATGTACTTTCTCGCCATGCAAATCTGCCTCTATGGCTTGATGTGGCCCTTGATACCCTGTCTATATTGAGTCTTTCTGAGCGCTTCTTCTTAAAGAGCTCTTTTGAGAGGGCTCCGTGAGCATGTCCTCCATTTTCCTACTTTTGACATTTTGTTCATCTCATACCCACCAACCTCAATTCTCCTGTCATTTTCTCGCTTCACCAAGTGACCCCGTTTCTGCATTCGTTTACCATGGTACCTATCTCTGGTGGTGTTTGGCGTATCATTTTTTTATTATTTTCCAACAAGGGCCTGGGCAGTCAAGTGGGTGACTGAAAGGGGAGTTTGCAACAAGAAGGCGTGCTTTTACTTTTGATCTATCCCATTGGGATTTCCAGTGTCGTCACATTTGCTTTGCCATCTATTCTCTCGCTTGCAATCTTGCCTCGGAGCCTATTTCTGTCATCACTTCTATTTTTGTATTGTACCTAGTTGTTCCCTTCACGTTCTTGTCAAGTCATCTTTTTTGGTGCTAGAGAGGACGCCCAAGGTTCCGAGGCTTCTCTTTTCTTTTCTCTCCTGCCACTGGTGGTGTCTTAGCTAGTTCTTGCCTGGGGTGTTTCATTTCAGGCGAGGCTAAAATGCAAGAATTCATTCCATACTACCTATCCTCTCTCCGAGTCGTCTTGCCCTAATTGTACTGGTAGGTACTACTAGTACTAATATGTTGTAGAATGAAGACAATGAGCGCAGGTAGTTCCCCGACACACTCACTCCCTCAGAAAGGGGTTCTCAGAATTATAAAAACGAGCAATCATATTATTAGATCTATATAAGGCTGAAACTATCAGCCAGATCCTAAAAGTATTCAACTTAACGCCCTCCCCCTCGCTTCTAACAATACCAACCCCCAAGAATCAACGACGAAATTACCAGCAAATTAATTCCAAATACGACCCCAGTGCGGCCTCGAAGGGTGAACATTCGTCGCCGTCGCGGTGAATTGAGTCGAGGCATGGGTTACGTTAAGAGCAGTCGTCGCATTCGAGAAAGTACTGCTCGTGTTAGTGAACGGCGTGGTTATATTCCTCAGCACTCCCCGTTTAACGATACCGGGCTCCCGCCGAATCACATTGGAGTCTCGTCGTTGAAAATGACTTCCTTTCTCTTTGGCCTTTTCTGTGGGCGACGCTTCGGGGGTGGTGCTGGATTCGCCGGTGGTCGTGGACTCTTCGGTAGTCGTAGATGGAGACGTCTCTGGGGTTGTGGATGGAGATGTCTCTGGAGTCGTAGATGGAGATGTCTCTGGGGTCGTAGATGGAGACGTCTCTGGGGTTGTGGATGGAGATGTCTCTGGAGTCGTAGATGGAGATGTCTCTGGAGTTGTGGATGGAGACGATTCTGGGGGTGTGGTCGACGACGGTACTCTTGTCAAGGTGCTGGGGCTAGAGCCTGGGTTTGAGCTTGAGGTAGAAGGTGTGGAAGCTGTGGAAACTGGCCCGCTGGTTGTACTAGCTGCACTGGTTGTACGAGTGCTGGGGATGAAGGGAGTCGAGCTCTTGGAAGTAGTTTGCGATCCGGGGTTGGTTGTGCTTGCGCTTCCACTTCCACTTCCACTTCCAGATGCACTTCCAGATGCACTTCCAGATCCGCCGCCAGTTGCACTGCTCGAAGGATTGCTCGATCCTCCACCCGCTCCGCCTCCGCCAGAGGTTGAGGGTTTTCCACCACCACCGCCGCCACCACCAGCACTGCTGCTTCCTCCGCCAGCACCTCCACCCGCTCCACCTCCGCCTGGGTTCCCACCTCCACCTCCACCTGATGGACCACCTCCAGATGAACCGCCGCGAGAGGGACCACCGCCAGATGAGCCTCCTCCAGACGGGCCACCTCCTGACGGACCACCACCGCCAGATGTTGGACAGCTAGTCACTGTCACTGTCACTGTAGACGCAGTTGCAGTGGGGAAGAATGGGGCACAGATAGAAGAGATCTCAGGGCAGCTAGATCCGCTGGAGTTACCACCTCCAGGAGAAGTGCCTCCACCGGGGCTTGTACCTCCACCACCAGGAGAAGTTCCACCGCCAGGGGACGTACCACCACCACCAGGGGATGTGCCACCGCCAGGAGAGGTGCCGCCGCCGGGACTACCGGTAGAGCTTGGGCTAGCACCACCACTAGGGCTTGCACCGCTGCCGGGAGATGTGCCTCCACCAGGAGAAGTGCCACCACCAGGAGAAGTGCCACCGCCAGGGCTTGTACCACCGCCACCAGGGGAAGTTCCACCACCTGGTGAAGTGCCGCCGCCAGGAGAAGTACCACCACCAGGAGAGGTGCCGCCGCCGGGACTACCGATAGAGCTTGGGCTAGCACCACCACTAGGGCTTGTACCACCGCCAGGAGAAGTACCACCACCAGGAGAAGTGCCAACGCCAGGGCTTGTACCTCCACCACCAGGGGAAGTTCCACCACCTGGTGAAGTGCCGCCGCCAGGAGAAGTACCTCCTCTAGGGGATGTACCACCGCCAGGAGAAGTACCACCGCCAGGAGAAGTGCCACCACCAGGAGAAGTGCCACCGCCAGGGCTTGTACCACCACCAGGGGAAGTTCCACCACCGGGTGAAGTGCCACTGCCAGGGCTTGTACCACCACCAGGGGAAGTTCCACCACCGGGTGAAGTGCCGCCGCCAGGAGAAGTACCTCCTCTCAGGGGATGTACCACCGCCAGGGGATGTACCACCGCCAGGAGAAGTGCCACCGCCAGGGCTTGTACCACCGCCAGGAGAAGTACCACCACCGGGAGAAGTGCCGCCGCCAGGAGAAGTACCTCCTCTAGGGGATGTACCACCGCCAGGAGAAGTACCACCGCCAGGAGAAGTGCCACCACCAGGAGAAGTGCCACCGCCAGGGCTTGTACCACCACCAGGGGAAGTTCCACCACCGGGTGAAGTGCCACTGCCAGGGCTTGTACCACCACCAGGGGAAGTTCCACCACCGGGTGAAGTGCCGCCGCCAGGAGAAGTACCTCCTCTAGGGGATGTACCACCGCCAGGGGATGTACCACCGCCAGGAGAAGTGCCACCGCCAGGGCTTGTACCACCGCCAGGAGAAGTACCACCACCGGGAGAAGTGCCGCCACCAGGAGAAGTACCTCCTCTAGGGGATGTACCACCGCCAGGAGAGGTGCCGCCGCCAGGACTACCAGTAGAGCTCAGGGCTAGCACTACTACCACCAGGGCCTGTACCGCCACCGGGAGATGTGCCTCCACTAGGGCTAGTTCCTCCTCCAGGGGAGGTACCGCCACCAGGTGCACCAGTAGACCCAGTTGAAGTTGAGCAGGGATTTGCGGTCTCTTCACCAGAAGTTTCGGTAGCGGAAGCAACGGCTGAACTCAGGGCGCCCGTGTTGGCGATATTATGACGTTCCAGCAGGTGGCGGTTCTCGTCGCGATCAACGAGGATAGCGAGCTCGTCTGCACTCGCCGGGAGACTCTGCAAGAGTATGCAAGAAGCGGCGGCCAGCAAGGCCATGCATCTTTTAGGATACATGATGGGAGATCAAGAGTCTGGGCGTGGAAACAATCACCGAGTGAGTGTTCAGTCAAGAGGACAATTGATCATAGAAAAATTGAGACGTTCCGTGGCCACTCAAATTTATAATGGGTGCGATTGGATGGACAAGTAGCAAGAAAAGAGAATGTAAAACAAAGTCAATCGGATCGAAGCAAAGTCCACGCAACAGCCAACTTGATGCAGATCACAGCGTTGCACGACCCGCCGGACAGGAGCAGGATAACACACAGCGAAGCAATCTGGACAACAAGCAAAAGCGAAGATGGAAGCAAGGTAGAAGGACAGAGGGCGCAGAGACAAAGACCTTGTAATATGTAGCGCATAGCCAGAAACCTTGAAGGGTAGTGATGATCGAGCGATGTCATTGACTTGGCTTTCCAGGTATGGGCTGACGACCATATATGGTTGGTCTTGCTGAGAAAGCCCTATGTTTACCAAGTTCCATGGTCCTCCCAGCGCTTCCGGCCGTTCCTCTTGGAAATCTATTCGTGGGTTCCTCGGGCTTTGACAGATTCAGGTACCATCATTGTGACTGCCAAGTTACATAGATCTGGACCTGAATCTAGTTCCTGTTCCCCTCGGAGATATTATGCGATCTCCCAGTGGATGAGATCATTGTATCGTGAATTAATGGCCGCGCGAAAAAAGGAATGATGGATTCAACGATGAAAAATTGATTAGCATTAGTAAACTAGAAACTTTTTAACCTATGATAAGATGCATGCGAAATTGACGCGTATGTTTGTTGGGTCGCTAATTTGTCGTGGAGAGCAAAATAATTCCAAACCGCCTGGGACTCAGCATGGCGGTATCTTCAAATTCCAAAAAAAATTCAATCTCTGTGCAATTTTAGTCGCTTTTATTCTGTGAGGTCATGAAGTCGTGTCGTTGGTATTCAAAGGGTGGGTAATTCTTGCATTTGCAACTTTTTCAAGTATACATCGGCGCGTGGCCTATGTGAACTAGTAAATAGCGAGAGGACGACGCCAGCCGACCTGTATGACCTTTACGGCGGTACAGCAAGCGAGACCAGCCGCATAGCACACTGTAGTGAAAGCAATGAGGCCCCAGTATTCACCGTTGCAGCGCGATAGGATTTCTCCGGCGATGGGGATACCGGTCAGGGTGCTAGTAGCGAATATGTCAGTCAAGAGTACAAATGACATCAGAAACTGCGCTCAAGAACTGATACTTACCCAAAGCTTACAATCGTGTATGCGGTTGCGTAATAACGACCGTAGTTTTCGGTCTTGCACAGTTGACCGACGCAGACGGGCGTCAAACTGATGTTACTTCCACTGGAGAAGCCGAAGAGGACGGCATATACGATGAGCAATGCCAGACTGTTCCCGGCAGGAAGCCAGAGGCATGCATTGCATAGCAAGCAGAGAGCCACAGTTGCGATCAAAGTGTTGAATCGGCCAAGGAAATCAGCAAAGAATCCTGGAAGCCATCTTCCGAAGAACGAGCCAACGTTCAAAATGGCTACCATCTGGTATGAAAGTTTCGTGGAGAAGCCATGATCCAGAGCGTAAGAGGAGATGTAACTGATAGGCACGAAGAGACCCCACTCAATAAAGAACACGCTAGCGGTAGTCAATGCAAATCGAGGCTCGCGGAAAATCTTGAAATCCGGAAGGATATTTTCTCTAGAGAAAGGCCGTTGTGGTAGGCGAGATTTGATGAGTAGGTTTGCGAATCCAAAAGCGATTAGGCATATCAGGGCAATCACACGGGTTGCCCAGGCCCATCCAATCTTGGGAAAAAGGCTTTCCAGAATGAGGGGAAAGGCAATTCCTCCAATCGAGCCACCGGTAGCAGCAATACCAGTTGCGACTCCACGTTTTTCAAAGAAGAAATGACCGATTGCTGAGATGGCTGGGGTGAATATCAAAGACGCGCCCACTCCGCCCAGAACACCGATCACAAGCATGAAATGCCAGTACTTGGTACAAAATCCCAGGAGGATCATCATTGCCATCTCACAAATGGAGCCTGCCAGGACAAGAAAACGTGGCCCGCGGGCATCGAAGATGGGGCCGATCTGAACACCGCAGAAGAAGGTCAAGAAGGCATACATGCCAAAGATCCACCCGATGTTACCGGAGCTATAGTCTTTCAGCTGGTTATTCTCGATGTAGGCCTGGAAAGTACCGATGGTGTTGACGAGTCCCAGGGAGCCAAAAAGACCCAAGAAACTCCCGAGCACCACCAGCCATGCTTCAAGCCCACCCTCTGGGTAAGTGTTTCCCTCCGCGTCAGTCGTGACCCGGCTCATGGGGTCCATACGAACGGAGCGGTGTGAAGGGGCTACCGTAGAAGCCGTGCGATAGAGCTCATCGCTATTGTCTGACTTGTTGGTGGTAGCTGGCTCATATTCGGCATCCTGGTTGGGGTTGTGGGTTTGTTCCTGCTTTTCAAAATCGGAGACATGCGTACCAGTCTTTTCCAGATCGGGTCCGGTCACCTGGTCCTCTGTCTCGTGGATTTCAGACACGACCGTGTGGTCGAGAGTAGGGTCAATACCATGTTGATGGCGACCCGATGCATTAGATGTTGTGGTGGTGAGGCCCGAAAAAGTGGACATTATATGTGGGGGGGGTAGTTCCGCCGTCCCCAGGTTGCTTTAGGTTTTTCTTCCCTTATGATGAAGGTGACAAATTTCTGTCGAGGAAGTGCCCTCTCACGCTGCCTTTGATGTACTTGAAGGCCGAGTTATTGTGGGGGTCTAGGGGGAGATGAAAATGTTTTTTAAAGATGGAGAGGGGTCATTAGCAATCCAAAAGTTGGGAGTTCACCTCATCCTGTGGTGTTCTCCCCGATTGGCTTTGAGCATGGTTCCTGGGTCTTTCTAGGCCCGTTTTCATAACGTGGAAAATTCGGTCACGAACGGCTATTGGTGGCGGGTAAGTGGGCCATTCTCGCCCGGCTGTTGCTCCGTACGGAGTACTCCATTTCTCTATGTATACGGAGTACGAATTAGACATTTCTACTCCGAACTCCGATTGATATAATACGCCGTTATAGGATTGAAGCACTCAAGAGAGGGCCATGAAAACGTGCAGATTCGGAGAATTTACCCAATCAACCCCATTTACCACATGCGTTGCCGGAGGATCGGCATGGACCGACAGGAAGCATGCCTTGTGTAACCAAGCCATATGTTTGCCCAATGAAAGCGGAACCATGTGGCAAGTAAATATTTGCCTCGACAAAGGAGGATCGTAGTCTTAACCCGATAGCTACCACTGATATGTTCACTCAGGCAAGTCCCGCGGTGGATCTCAAGGACTACTTTGGGAGCCTCAGGATGTCTCTTTCTTTTGGTGAGATATCAATTGCTTTGCTTCATATAGTCTTAACTGTGGTCGTCTTTCATCCAATTGGGCTTGTGGTTTAGTGGTATAATACTCCCTTAGCATGGGAGTGGTCCGGGGTTCGATTCCCCGCGAGTCCATCTTTTTGCTGAACCCTGCTAAGGGTACCTGGGCACTTTAGAGGTGAAGGATAGGTTTCTTCTTCTTTTATGAAGAGTGCTTTTTTGGTTCCAGCAGGGTTTATTTAAATCCAAAGTCCTTTGGTGCCCAGGTTTGTTCTGTCTCGATCTGTTGGCGGGGTTGTGACAGGCAGGCGGGTATATATATATAGTAGTAACTGCGAATAGACATCAATTAACCACCGACAGGCTTCCCAGGTTCAACTTGAAGTCCCCTCCTGTTCAACTTCTGGATAAATCTTATAGCGGTCCAGGTACCTCGGCACTGCAGCGAGTCAAAGGCTAATCCAGAACTTATCACCCGAAACAAGCAATTTCAGCTCATGTACGGAGTACTATCGCAGCCAATACCCATCCCGCACCCGCGTTCATCGCAAGCCACGGCGGGTCCTGATAGTCAGGGGCCCTTTGTTATCTCTGAGATAGTAAACCGAGATAAACCGAGTTATCCCTCTACTAATGGCCTCATTTTTAAATGAAAGACTTTTTTAGGCATGACTCACTAGCCTACTAACCATGACATATGCAACATGTAAGCTACGTACATGGATAACGGAGTCAGAGAGTCTCAGCACAGGTTCTTTAATGTAGCCGTATGATCCGAGCGGGGAGGGGTCACAATGGGCGTAGCCTAATTGATGTCACCACGCGAGAGAAGAGGAGAAGCTAGATCGAGTCTTGTCATCAATCTCCGGGCGCAATAAGCCTATTTGTCGGAATCCCGTCGCGGTCCCGGGAAGCCCTAATCTACTGAATAACATCCGCCCGGAGACAGAAATTGACACACCAAGAGAGAACAGTAGGCTGGAAAATGGGAGTTTCCAACATGAAAGGCAACTCTGTCTGCCCGCTAGATAAATTCAGCTCTGTCCAAGGAAATGGGGAACCGGAAACAAAGGGACGCAGATCGGTTAAAGCTGGGGCGAGCGATTTGCATGCGAGTTACCATTTCCGGGGCTGGCGGAGATTCTAAACCCCGCTTGCGCAGTGCAAGTTGACCTCAGTGGCTCACTGGTATCGAAGAGGGGGACCCAGTAATGGCACAAGAAGAAGCATTGCCTTGCCGGCCGCTAATCAATTTATGGGGTTAGCATGAAAAGTGTCGAGGGCACAGAGTACATATTTAGTTTGCATTCACCCGCTCCAGTTTGTTTACTCCGCAGAGTGAATATTTTCATGGGTTCTCCCAAGTCACACCCATTTTCTCCGATAGCCTAAAATGCTGTTGAAATCTGTTTTGACCTCCGGTCTCCTAGCCCTTGCACTGGGCTCGGAGACTGTCGCTGCATCCAAGCATGGTCGTTTTGCTGAGCACGCCCGTGCTCCGCTGAAGAACGCCAAACGGGCAGCGGAGGCTGCTCAGGCGAAGCATGTGCGAACCGAAAAAGATTTTCGGTTCTCGAACAAGAAGACCGAGAGTGAGTACTGTCGCGTGATTTACTGATTTGCTTCGCTGACCATTCGCCCAGAGTACCTGGTTAACCATCTGCCTGATGTACCCTTCGACATCGGAGAGATGTATTCCGGCCTCATGCCGATTGACATGAGCAATAGCTCCCGGGCGCTGTTTTTCATTTACCAACCGACCATTGGGAAGCCTGTGGACGAGGTGACTATCTGGCTGAATGGTGGACCTGGCTGCAGTTCCATGGAGAGCTTCCTCCAGGAAACCGGTCGTTTCCTGTGGCAACCTGGTACCTTTGCGCCAGTAGAGAATCCATATTCCTGGGTGAACCTCACAAATGTCTTGTGGTTAGTATCAAGCATCGTCGTTGGATACACTAGGAGAAGTAGTGTGTTAACTCTCACTCCAGGGTCGACCAGCCGGTTGGAACTGGCTACTCTATCGGTACACCAACTGCCACCACCCAAGAAGAAACAGCACAGGATTTTGTCAAGTTCTTCAAGAATTTCCAAAAGACCTTCGGTATCAAAAACTTCAAGATCTATGTCACCGGTGAAAGTTATGCTGGTCGCTACGTCCCTTACATCTCAGCTGCAATGCTGGACGAAGATGACAAGGAGTACTTCGACCTACAAGGTTAGTGAGAATGGGAACTATCAAGATAGAATATCATTAACCGTCAACAGGTGCACTTGCTTATGACCCTTGCATTGGTCAATTCGACTACGTCCAAGAACAAGTCCCAGTAGTGCCACTCGTTCAGAACAATGCAAACCTGTTCAACTTCAATGAGTCATTCATGAACGAGCTCGAGCACTTGCACAAGACCTGTGGATACAGCGATTTTATCGACAAGTACCTGACCTTCCCTCCACCCGAGGAGCAGCCAACCAAGATTTTCAACCACACCACAGACGCCAAGTGTGATGTTTTCGATATGGTTTACAACGAGATCTTCAGCATCAACCCATGCTTTGATCTGTACGAGATTAACCTGATGTGTCCCTTGCTGTGGGATGTACTGGCCTTCCCCACCTCGCTTGTCTACCAGGCCGAAGGCTCGACCGTCTATTTTGACAGGAAGGACGTCAAACATGCCTTGCATGCACCCAATGTAACCTGGGCTGAATGCTCAGCTGAGCCTGTTTTCGTGGGCGGCAACGCAGGTCCTGAACAAGAAGGCGATACCTCAGCAAACCCTATCGAAAAGGTCTTGCCTCAGGTGATTGAGGCAACGAATCGTGTTCTCATCAGCAATGGCGATTATGACATGGTCATTATCACCAATGGTACACTGCTATCCATCCAGAATATGACTTGGAACGGCCACCTCGGATTCCAGGAGAAGCCCGAAACACCCATCGACATTGAGATCCCTGACCTTATGTACAAGAGTGTTTTTGAGGAAAATGGCGCATCGAGTCTTGACGGGCCCCAGGGCATCATGGGTATTCAGCACTTCGAACGTGGATTGATGTGGGCAGAGACCTATATGTCTGGCCACATGCAGCCACAGTACCAGCCGCGTGTTGCCTATCGCCATTTAGAATGGCTACTGAAGCGGACGGACTCACTTTGAAAGTGCGCATCGGAGCGAAAGCACTGTGGTTACACAGAAGCAGCATGGTGTATGGGCATTAGCAATCTCGTACATAGCAACAAAGACGTCTAATGAAATAGCAAATGAAATTGCACATATGACGAAACCCTCTTCTCTCACAGTAGATTCTCAAGAACGGTGGTAGGTAGCACTGACCGCAACTCTGATAGCATTTCGCGTACTGCGCCAGGTTGACCAAGAATCCAGGGATTTTATTTACCCCAGAAAAGATGAAACCGGCCCGGATCAGCCTTGCATTCGGACCGTGTGGCCCATCTCCGCATCATGTATCAGTCCTTCTCCATAAGTCAGTCTCAAGTACCCGGAATGGCCGTGCATACAGGAGCCTATCTCAGCTAGAGTTTTCCGCGGGAAACCTTGATCCCGTTATCTCCCTATTGTATTCGAGATGATAAGTCCGATCTACAGAGATAACCGCCAAAGAATTATCTTGTGATGTCAGCCGTCACCGCCACCTGGACTGGATTTCCGTTTTAAGTTATTTTTCACAGCGCCGCCCCTGTCTTACATTCGAAAATGATTGCTAACCCAGGTGTATCAGAGTCGGGTCTACCGGGTCTTGGGGATTTCAATTATCGTGCCGAGAAAGTTTTCAACAGGGGGTTGGAACATAGTGACCAGTGGGATTCTTTATATCCCCAGTCTATGGACGAGACATGGTATTAAGGTTTCAGTCCAGATATTCCGGAATATATGGCGCCTGGGGCGGAGCCGCAGGGTGCTCACTAGTAATACGTACCCTGTGAATTGGTATATAACTCATTTGGGAGGGAATTGTAAGCGTTTGATGACTCGTATCGTCATGAATCCTCTCCGCACGGCCCTAAGGAAAGAGGTAAGTACGCGGGGTTTATACTGAAGCGAGGTCATGGATGCATAGTACTAGCTCTCTTTCAGCCATATGATTCCACGTATGTAGCAAAACTAGTTTATACAGATAAGAATGATGAGTTATTTTCTTGACAATGATGCCCGATCTACAGCACGCCTGTCTCCTGTTCTATTCTGTGAAGCGGAGATGCTCCGAAAAAGAAGCTATGGATTATCCCATTGGTCTATGTCCGG